ATTAGTAATTTAAACCATAGGGTTCCAAAAAACCAATAGATTTCTTCCAAGTCTATTTCACTGATGGATTCGCGTAAATTCATCCCATCAGGCTCTGAACACGACGAAGAGCGTAAACAAATCAAATGTAGGTTGACTAAAAGTCTAAGGAACGATCGTGAGCAGTGGTGGGCAACGAAAGTAAAAGAGATGGAAAAAACAGCGGCTGTAGGCAACACCAGACAACTCTTCAGACTAATAAAAGAAACCGGAATTAAGAAGTTAATTGTAAGCGAGACAATCTCGGAAAAAGATGACACTCATATCTGCTCTCAGTCCAGATATTTGGAATGGTGGGCGGAACACTTTAAGGAGCAGTTCAGCTGGCCTTCAGCTACTCTGAAACTTCTCACCATTCCCAGTCAGAACGGAACATTGAAGTAGGTCCCTCGACTTTACTTGAAGTTCAAAAGGCTGTAGCTAATCTGAAACGAGGAAAAGCAGCCGGTGCAGATGAATTGGCTCTAGTGGTCTTTAAGTATGGTGGTGCAATTTTAGCGATCAGGTTGACTAATATTTTAGCTAAAATCTAGGAGTTGAACGTAATCCCATCCGACTGGTCACAATCACTGATTGTCCCAATATATAAGAAGGGGTCCAAATCATCCTGTGATAACCATAGAGGGATTAATCTGACTAACATAGCATCTAAAATACTAGCCTCAATAATTATCGGGCGCCTAACTAAGACTCGTGAACTACAAACACGAGAAAATCAGGCTGGCTTCAGACCTGGTCGTGGCTGCATCGACCACATATTCACTATTTGTCAGGTTTTACAGCACAGACATGTTTATCGGCGTTCGACAATGATAGTTTTTCTTGACTTGAAAGCAGCATTTGACTCTGTAGACCGAGAGGTTCTGTGACAGTGTCTGTCATTGAAAGGTGTACCTGAGAAGTACATAAACCTTGTAAAGGCTCTTTACTCGAACACTACCAGTCGAGTGAGAGCTTATGGCGAACTGTCATATGATTTTACAACCTCAAGTGGTGTCTGACTAGGCTGTCCCCTATCCCCACTTTTGTTTAACTTCATTATAGACCTATTGCTAGAAATAACACTCTCCTCGAATGAATTTTCAGGAATTGATCTCCTACGAGGAGGTTCACTTGTCGACTTAGAATACGCAGTCCTGTTTGGTGAAGACGCTGACAAAATGCACTCTTCCGTTAGAACCTAGTAACAGTGTCAGGATATTTGGAATGCGTTTCTCCTCCTCTAAACATGAATTGTTACTCCAGGACTGGCCTGCGTCAACACCTGAACTAAGGATAGGGAGTGAAGTAGTCAAATGCGTCGACAACTCCACTTATCTTGGAAGTCTGACCAGCCATAATGAGTTGATGTCTGCCGAAATCTCAGCACGGATTCAAAAAGCTCGTTTGACTTTTGCCAACTTACGTCACCTATGGCGAAGGCGAGATATCCATCTATCAATTATGGGATGAGTATACTGCGCAACAGTTCGCTCTGTTCTACTTTACGGCTACGAAACATGGCCATTAAAGGTAGAGGATACTGGTAAGTTACTAGTATTTGACCACAGATGTCTCAGAAATATTGCTCGCATCTGCTGGGATAACCGGGTAAGTAATGGCGAGGTTAGACACAATATATTAGGGAATGATGGTAAGTCAGTTGATGAGGTCATGAATCTTCATCGACGGAGATCGTTAGGCCACGTGTTATGTATACCTGAACACCGATTACGACGACGCGCTGTGCTGACTAGTATTGGGAATGGTTGGAAGAGAGTTAGGGGCAGCCAAACTAAAACATGGCTTCAGTGCTTGAAGTCGATAACTTCTAGTATGAGCCATGTTGGCAGATGCAGACTTGATTTATTTAAATTTATTTATTTAGAAACATAAATATTGGTACAAGGAAGCACCAGATAAATATGCGCCTCACAAATCTGATTTGATTTGTGTGAGGGCTGTGGTACTACTCAGGTGCCCAGACTGAAGCGGGTGGTTTTCTTAGGGGGCCACACCTCGAGCCTTTGACCTGAAGGTCTAGTCCGCAAGGCAGTGGAGCATCATGAGGAGATGCAGTCCCATGGTAGCCGGTGACCAACGACTGATTCATACGCCATTTGTTCCTTCAGGATACTGGAGCCCATGTGCACCATTGGTTTGGAATCAGGGTTTTCCAACACTCCTAGGTGAACTTTCGGTGCCCACCAACCCGGTTAATGCGCCTGACATCTGCTTTTCGTCCTCTCACTTTCGTAAACAACACCCCTGCCACGAGAAGACAGTGAGTAGGACTTCCCTGGAAGAGGCTATATATTCGCTGGCCATGTGAGAGCATTTCGAGAGGGAGAGCGGACTCTCCTACTCTAGGCCGTACCAGGGCATTTGGGGGCTAATTTAAAAAAGCCGGCGACACCCGGTATTCCCAGCCGGTCACCCATGCAAGTACTGACCGGGCCCAACGTCGCTTATCTATCTATGTCTAATTTTTTCTCCATTTTTCCAACTTCTAGTATCTTAGTTGAACTTGATATTCCTAAGAACTATAAGGAACCGTACGTATGTATTATTGTTATTTCATGGTTGGTCTTACCTCAGAAGCCATAACTTGTCATCAGGAAGCTGATTGTTCTTACGTATTTTCAGTCAACTTCATACTCAGCATTGAAACTGTTTTGAGACTGGTTTTCAGCTACTACTATACTTATTCAATATATAACCAGTAAAAAATACCAAATAATTTATACACCAACCTGGATCATTAATAGATGTTAGTTGATTCAGTTATAAGAAATTAATAGAAGCTCTAATACCAACTTGAACTTGCTGAATAACAGGTAACCATTGCAAGTCAATACGTGGAAGATGGGTTCCTATAAGACGTTCAGCTGAGAGAAACCTAAATCATTGCAGTTAGCGGGTTTCAAATACGACTAAACGTGTATTCTAAATTCACTGTTATCCATCACCAAATTCAAGCAACTATCTAATACTACTTAACTTTAAATTATATTGTATGTTAAAAGATCTGTGACATGATTTCAATTAAATTAAAACACATTTTTCTTCTCACAATCTGTATTTAGCTTCAATCGTAAAAAAGGCTTCTTCTGTGTGACTACTAGAAACGCATTTAGTTGGAATAATGGTTGCCTGGGTCGAAGCAAAGGAAGAACCTATGAACCATTAGATCGTAATACTTTATTGCCAAACTTAATGGAAATGTATTTCTCTAAGGCTAATCATAAACTGTATAAATTGTTACAAAAATATCCTCTATGGAGTAGTACATTGACATTAAATACACACAAACTCCCATCATGGATTAAAATGAGCGATTAGCTTATTAATGTCTTTTGTTTCTTGGTTAACTGTGCTTGTACAAAATATTGTCATTTCTGCATTTCTTAATTACTGAACTTTAAAAAATTCACTTTTCTCTATATATATATTTATCATTTGTTCCTTGATGATTTCAATCAAAAATCACTTTAGAAAGTAAGAAATATGTTCGAGTCTTGATAATAATATCAATCCTCTGTAACGCAGCTAAATGTATTCGAAAATAAGCACCTAAGACTTGGTAACCAGCTGCTACCAAAGTCACTTCATATATATATATATATATATATATATATATATATATATATATATATATGACACTGTGTAGCATTTAAAAGCGATACAAACAACTATGATGGGTAATGTAACTGCTAAATCGATTTCAACACCAATATAGAAAATTGCACTAGTAATCAGTAGTTAAGGATTATTGTACTCGAAAAACAACTATATCGCTTAGCAACGTACATTTTTAGCCTATGGATATATAACAGTGGAAGATAAGTAGAATGATGACCGCTTATGGATGTAAGATATGGGTTTCATGTGAACATATAGATCAGAGTCGTTGGGGTACATAGAATGCAAGACAAAAGTAGCAGCTTAATCTATTTTGGTCAATAGACACTATATTGAGGACTTTTTTAATGATGTGCTGGTAACTATAGAATATGTATAAAGAGAGCTCCATGTGTTAGTGAAAAGCCTTACATCAATTACTGTAATATTTGATTGACGTTTGGTTATGGTCCTCATGTAATTATATAAGTCACCCCTTTGGAGACCATATCTATATAGAATTCAGAAACGACTACAGTGGCATGGTGAATCTGTTCTCTACAATCTTAAAGATTTCTATGTAACCCCGATCGCGTTTCCTATTTCTATTGATCTCACCGTGAATAGCACCTGGCTACATAAATACATGCAAACGAACCACTCCCCATATCCAAGCTGGTTGTCAATAAAAATTACTGTTTTAAGATCTAAACATGTGCCATTTTCGACAAAAAACAAATTCTTAGTATTCCTGGACTTGTTCAGTATTCGGACCATATATACTGAAATCAGATGACTTAGTTTCCCTTTAGGTCATTGTTAGTGAGTGAGATCTTCCAAACGATACCGGTGGACCTAAGAAAACAAGATGAGTCTTTATATCTTCCTATAAGTTCATATGAGGGGATAGCATTCGCGCTGATTTCAAAACCAACCATCCCCACAAATAAACAAATTAAACACCTGTCGCTGTAATAGTCAAACACGTTGTTTCTATATACATATATATACCAATCAGTCAACGATCTTGTAGATTTTCTAATTTTCTTTCAATCGAAAACTGCACTAATACTTCGATTCGTTGAGTGGCTTTTCAGGTTTCTTATCTTGTAGTCATTCAGCTACCGTGTGTTACAAAACTGCTCTCAATAATTAACAAGTCATTGCATGATAGTTTGAATTTTATATTCGTGCATTATTGAGTTATAGGTCCGTTTCATCTTACAATGATGCAAACATACTGTGGGCTCCTAATAGTTTATAGTGTAAATTCTCTAAACAGGGTCCCCACACTTTTTCTGTATTTATCCTTGATATTTTGCTGGCCCTGTTTTTTTTACAATATTTCTATCTGTGAGCCACTAGATATAGAGACTTTACTTGCCAAACACAATGAGAAGAGTGTCTTCAAATTATATCCTAACTTAATTTATGGCAGCGACGTTATGATCTCCCTACAGTGAAAGGAAGAAACTCCCCTGTGATGAACAGTAGTATATGTTTGTAGCTTAGCGATGTTTGATGCCTGAAACCCTGTCACTAAATCACAAATTTTATTCCATTTAGTATACCATAATCCATATAATCACACAAGACCGTTGCCTATTAAAATATTTGTTGCTACTAAGAACTCATACACAAACGTGGGTGTTGTTGCTGTGTTACAGTCTACATAACCTGTAAAGCAAAAATTTGCTAGTAGTTCGTACCAACGTTGTGTTATTCTACCGTTTAAATAATATTATGCACACATATACGTCCGATGTGGCTTTTTTGGAATATAAATGGGTTTTAAAACAGGGAAGTGTAACTAAGTGTCTAATTTTTGTTAGAAAAATAATAAGTTCATATCATAAAAAATCACATGAAAAGTTATAAGAAGACTTTCGAATACAATCACAGAATACTTTTTATTTACAAGCTTAATATTGTAAAATGCAGTCAAAACGTAATGATCTTGGTGCTTCACATAAATTTTATCTAATAGACAGAGAGTCGTTCCCACTTCCTATCAAGTGCTGGATTCACTCACTACAGTCGGTAAGCTTGATTTAAGATGTGAACTCTGGGTAGTTTTTAATGAATTGTTTTCATCCGGACAGCTATATTCATTACCACCAGCCGTTGGGTCAAGTTGTCTGTTTGAATGTTTGGAAGAGTGATCTAGCTTCCCAGAACCTGGTACCAAAGAGATTGTCAGTTTTAAGGGTGATCGATGATGATTAACTGTTCCGTTAGAATATTTGCATTCCAATTGGTCAGATGAAGTTGCTGAGTTCTTGCACGAGATCATGTCTCCCGAAGATGACTCCAAGAAATTCTCCTCAGTTTCGGTATCATCATCTTCTAAACGTTGTTGTTCTGCTATGCGTCTAAAAGTACAAAAATACTTTATTGCTTAGTGATCAACTCTTTTATTAGAGTTTAAGGTGATGATATAACACCACTGTCCAAACCAAAGCAAGCAGCCGTTTTTGTTTCTTATAATGGGAGTTGAAATACGGGCTCCCAAATATCCATAATTATTCTCAGTGAATTCGCACTTCAATTTTTAGCAATGCGGAATTTTATGTGACACCCCAACTGTAAACTATTAATAATTTTGAAAGATATACTACTACACTTAATATGTTCATGTCTGAGAATAATATTTCTCCCAACTCCATGTTACTCTCAAAATCCTCAAATATCACTTCATTCCATGCATATAGAAACTAATAACTGTGGTACTTCGAACGTGAGGGAAATTCACATTATGAGTTCGCCATAAATTCTATTTATATCCAAAGTTACACTAAGAATAAAACAAAGACTATTAAGCGTGCAACGGCGGTGTGAGGTACGACTGTGCATGCTATCTGTCAGTTTAAAGAGTTAGAGGTTTTGGTTTTAAAATCTGTTGTCAACAAACAACCTGGCAATACTGCAAGAAATGAATTACACTGATATTTTGGGTGGTGAATTTCAAAGAAAGACAATAATTTGTTGGTCTGTCTCAACAAAATTTGTTACAATAGACTCCATAATGGAAACGAAGATATTAAAGACTGACCCATGAAAATGACCGTAGCAAGACCAAAGGTTCAATAAAACATCAATATAGAAGTGTCTCACTTACTTGTTGGCTCTTCTTGAACTGTTTCTCCCTAATCCCATACAATTAGATAAATGAACAGCATAGCGTGTAGCAGCAACCTTACAATTACATTTTCCACATCGACAACAACTGGCAGTTTTGCTAGGGTCTCTGCCAGAGCCTGAATTCGAAGAACCAACGCCAAGATTATCCGACAAGTTTGGATTTTGTTCAGGAGCAATAATATGGAAATATCCTAACTTTATTGCACGATGCATTGTTAAAATTCCATCCATCAAACATGAGTCTACTAACTCATCAATAAATTCTTGCAGAATATCCTGAAGATCACTATGTGTTACAGCAAAGGGCTTTTGCATTTATTTCGTATTAATGTAGGTAATATTCAGGACCGCTACTTGGTAAATAAAAAACGGAAATGTATTTTCTCACAACGATGTATATGTATTCATGTATCTATATTCAGTGAAGAAATACAAGTCGGAATGTCCTTATGAAGGAAAACAGTGTAACATGGTCTCAACAATATTAGAAGTACACGACTATAAGGAAAATGGGTTATACACTGAGTTATCACTTTTACAAGGACAAAAACTATTATGTGCCAACATTCAAACACATTTAGATCTTCGTTGAACCTGTAAGTTCATTGATATTGATAAAATGCGGATAAAAACCATTTGAGTCAGATGACAACCATCTAAACGCTGAGAAAGTAATCAAATAAAAGAGCAAACAGCACACACCTAAAGCTTATGCTCTAAAATAAAATCAGAACGATAGGAGGGTTAGCTTTAAGCAAACATAATCACGTTCCCAGTGTTATATGCCCTTGAATAACAGGTACAAAAAAAGGAAAATTCGATAGATATGACTCTTAAAACTGTATAAGAGTGCACAAATGGGTTATCTGGATACAGAGAAACATTTGACTAACATTAGCAACTTTAAACATAATAGGAGTTCTGAAAGAACTTTGGGAGGCCGTTAACCTATAAGCCTAAACAACCTTCACATTTAACAGTTTCGGTCAAACAGGTGCCCATAGTGAACGACTTATCACTGGAGGAATATTGATTCGAATATGTTTTAAAGATTCTTATCTTAAATATGAGGTCATTTCACAATAAAAACTGGGTGATAATTACTATTTTACTTCAATGTTCAATAGAAATGGTACGTCAAACATATCCATGCTTAGTCGATGTTTCAGTTCAGAGAGGACAGGAGGCTTGGTGGCCTGTGTTATTCCTGGAAATGCCGATCTCTCAGTTGATCTAAATTCTTTTGAAGGAGTCAAGGGATGAAGCCTCGACTACGTGCTAAGGTAGTGAATTTCACTCAATGATGGTTCGATGATAAAGTCGATGGTCGGCTGATAAGTAATTTGTTCTGGGCTTGTGAACATTTTTGAGTGTCCTCGTGAGTTCTCTGTTTGGGAGGATAAGAATAATGAGGGCATATCAGGTACGAATTTATCACTAAGTAATTTGAAAACTGTAATCAAGTCTCCTCTACTTCTTCGATAGAAGACGATGAATTCTAACCCATCGAGCCTACTGTATTTGTTAATAGATATATTAAGTATTTTTAGATGTTAATTGGATTTAATCGCTGTTAATACAGCGTTTGCATATTGATGTTGTTCTCATCGAATAGGTTTGATTATCCATGGATTTTTACGAGTGAATATTGGTGAGTTTGCGGCAGTATATTTCCGAGCTTTCATTGCTATAAACGGTTAACATTGCGAACGCTAACTATGCCGTTTCTGGTATGTTTAACGTTGGTTTCAGAACTTAATCTAGATAAATTCTCTTGAAATATTGTCATCGCTCAGTTTGATGTTCACTGGTTTTATCTGTGTACTAATTTTGGTTCTCATAAGCTAACCGTATAGAGATGAGACACTTCAAGAACTGCTGTTCTTGAAAACATATGCTTGATTTATGCTTCGACTTTATCAGATGCACTTTTAATTGAGTTTGTAGGATGAGTTAATTATCTCACTATGAGGATAAGCTATGAATGCACAAAAACGTGTGGTGTGATAAGCGATGTCCTAATGTCATATGCTTCTCTACCAAGACAGATTATACCCCAAATGCAACCACAAGTTAAATTATTCAAAAAAATAAGATCGACAATTACTGTATGCCAAGCAGTGGTTTCATTGTTAATGTCGGTGTCTTAGGCACAAACGAGAGTTGTCCCGATGGACAATAAGGACCCCTTGATGAAATGACGACTATCGTCTCCTGCAGCATTGCGCATACTACAACCTGCTTCTGGCTAAGATCGACTATCGGTGCAGTCGCCACCAGTGTGCCAACTGGAACCATTTTCTGCAACTCAAGCCTGAACTCAAAATTATCACTTTGCCATCAGCTAACGTTACTGTGGTTATGTGCACGATTACCTGTCGTCTAGAAATACTTGACTGAACTCTGATCGTGGTTTGGTTCTCATTAAGCTTATTTTGCGTCTCGGTGACATGAAAACACATCAATCTAAGCGAAGTGATGTGACCAAATTGGTCACAGCTTGTGTTGCAAACAAATATTAAGATAAGTTATGCTCAGGTCTGGGTGTTGGTTCACTGTAAGGTGTAGTTGAGAAATAGCTGGATCTTCAGAGTGCCATGAAAATGAATATTGAAATCACTTGTAGCTTTCTAAAACGTTCTGAACATGGGCACTAGTTTTTTCATACACTTCGCAGCATGACATACTTTCACTCACGGCGAAGAATTATTATGTAATGCCTGCGTAAGGACCGAGAAGCCTGTTTGTTGGAGCGCGTCAACGATTTTAAAGCAGAGGCTGCATCTGTTGGCATTTTCAAATCATCCAAGCAACCGGTATTGAACGAAACCATCTGCAAAGTTGACTTGACCCCAATCAATAACATTAGTCGATTTATTCAGTGATATGCATATTTTTTCGACGAAAATTTGCTCCATTCTGTTGCGTTGACGACATCGATCGATCTGTCTTTTTTAACAGCCGAAAGTAACTGAACCTCTTGTTGACGTGCAACTCCTAAAGAACCTTCAATCATTCAGGCGATATAATTCACCAATCCCAGGTTACTTAACTCTAGGTCTTTTCAAGGATGGTGGCGAACTTCTGTTTAGGAAATTGACTGAGTTGTTTGCAAACGATTGGGAGATAGAGACTGTTCCAACATTCAGGAATGAGGATTCTGCAACCCTTACATTAAAAAAACGCTTGCGTCACCTATGCAGCAAATAACGAGGGATATATCTATTTAGGATGCATCCAAATTTCCGGCTTCCATCATATCTCGCAAACTTTTCAAAATCCATTGAAGAATAACTCGCGAAGAACAGGCTGTTTTCCATTCTTGCTGAGGATGTATTGATCATATCTTCAACCTCCGACAGAATTTAGAACAACCCAATGTTTATTACTGGCCAACAATTGTCCTTTCCCTGAATATCAGAGCCGTCTTCGAATTGCTAGACAGTACTGTGCTCTGATATTGTTTACTGGAGACAGGTGTACCTGAGTTTATTAACATCCTGAAGTTTTCATATACAAACACCTTAGATGGAATGAGAGCATATAACTACTTCTCCTCATTGTTCCACTCAAGCAATGGGGTTAGGTGAGGTTATACGACCTCACCATTTCTCTTTAACTTTCCCATCGATGATATTCTGGAAACTGCCCTTATGGAGGAGGTACTGCTTGCGTGGATCTGTTTATTGGAGAAAGATCTTTTAATCTCGAGTATTCTGATTACACTGTCTTACTATGAAATGATGCTCAATCCTAGCAATGCACACTAAACCCATTGGCAATCAAATTCCTAACATTTCGGAATATCACATTTTAATCTTATGCCCAGTAATTATACGTGTGTTTAGATGTTCCTAATCATGGCTCTCTATAATAATGTCTAGCAAAAAGAATAAATTTTTTTCCGATGCATTTATGAAATTTCTTCAAACCCACTACTTTAGCATTGAAAAAGCAATGTTCTCGTGCAGATAATGACGAATGACTGCACATATGTATATAATACTACTTTCTCAGGTCTTCAGATGTTTTTGGGGCAGTTTCTCACCCTCCAACATTAAAACGGCCATTGAAAATTTGTTTACATGAACTGCGAGCAATATCTTTTTTCTGATCGATTGCACCCAGATCTGAGTCACGGAAATTTGTAGGAAATGTTATAGATAAAACTTGACTGCATTTCTGTATATCACTTGTTAATCAGTGTTCTTATTCAAGATTTTATCGGTTCGGAAAGTTATTTTCAATCTGTAACGGTGGTGACCTTATGGTGTAATAATGTGAATGGTTACCCTCCATTTGATGTTGCCTGTTAGATTACCGTCAACATCACTTACCCAAGTAGTAGAAATTTGTGCAGCCAATATCAGATGATATAGATCTATTCTGTCGTATTTAAATACGTTAGCTGCTGAAATATACTTTAAACTAATCACAATGGGTGATTCTCCATCTAACGTAAATATCATCCTAAAGTAAGAAAGCTTTTCTCTAAATACTATATTCCAAATGACTTCTAGTACTTTCATGCAAAGTGAGTTACTTTTGGATCTGCTTCTCAACTGAATACTCAAAATTACTGTAAAGAAGAGTTTTAGACAAATAAGTATGGCACTAAAACAAATGTCTGGAAATGTTTTATCAGAAGACAAATATGTCAGAAATACAGGGGAAAAGTTATTGACTATAATTCAAAAGCGACACTTTTGTTATTTGACAAAACAAGCAGAAGACTGTGAAGAACTACCTTTGACTACTTGCTAAGTCAATACTTATTTCTAAATCGCTGCATGAATTCATATAGCTCAGGTCGCGTGTGACATGCTGCTTTGGGTTCTTGCCCGCAAGCTGAGTGTTGTAAATCAGGTAAATATAGTTATAACTCCTTACTTCGGCTAATATAAATGATTGGTACCAAATTACGGAAGTTAAACCATAAACATCAGCACGTGTGTAAGTACTTGAGTTATATAAGGCAGTATACTATGGACTCTTTTGTTCGTAATGAACATTGTTCGTACTCTTAATTGCCTTAAATAGGAGAAAACTTTTACTATATACTGGCGACCTGCAAGTATTCTACACATGCCAAATAAACGAAATAAATAAAACAACCAAGTTTATTTTACAGGAATCATTCGGGATAGATGTATGGTTTACAAATTATTAACTTTAGCTTGGATGTGACGAATATGGCTGGGTTGGTATTGAATGGAGCAACATGGACTACATTATGAAGTGTGAAGGAGACAAACGCACATATATGATATGAAGGCCGGTTACTAAAAATGCTCGAATGATCTGACACTTTCTTGACAAATAGCCTCGATTGGTGAGATAGAATTCAATTTTATGGGTTACGTGATTTATGATTTCATTGAGCATGAGCCTGTGCTAGTACTACGTAAATTTTGCGTCCTTTCAGTGCTACGACATTATCCGCTTAATACCAGCAGCCTCCGCATATGCTACAGGTTGAACGTGGAAGGAATACAGCACAAATTACACAGACGTCTTTGAGAATGGATTGTGTTTAGAGTTACTTTATATGATGTAACACATTGGGACTGGCACCTCCTTAGAGAAGTCGAGCTAGACCAAATCTTATCTCTTGCTTCACGCTTGAATGTCAGTCACAAATCCTCCAAATCCAATAGTGGATTTCACTGAATGACCCCATTATAATGTAAGCCATACAAGGTTGGCTGAACTACAACATTTTAGGTCGAAGATAATTTGAGACCTCTTCTCACTTACATACGTTTGCTGTCATTAGAAATAGCCTACCATTTTAAATCCTGAAAATGTAGTTATGAGCAGTTTAAATTGCTAGACAAATAAACACCTACGAGACACTAGATATGTTAGTGTTGTATTTAAATTCCACTGCTTGTTAAAATACACACTCCCTCTTAACGTATAGAATCAAGCTTACAAGCATATCAACACTGCGCTACCAATTACTTCTTACAATGCTGGTTCACGCTTTTATATGAAAAATTGTTTAAGCACAATGAATTACTTGGACTATTATTTCATAAATGTTAGAAAGATAGGCTATGTAAATAAAGAGTTATATCCTACATAG